AGGAGGTTGTGAGTGCAAATCCCAGCAGTGACCAAACGCAGGTCAGGTTTATAATAATTTGATGGATTAAAACATTTGCAAAAATAAATAAACCAAGAAAATAAAATGTACTAGAAAGCTAAGGTGAGAAATTCCTATTTTAAACACTCGACTGGGACATTTTGTGGGCTTGTTAAAGTTGTATTATGTCATCACCGCCTACTGGTTGGAGGATGGTTACAGGTGTCTGACCCGCACCAGTACCGCTGATCTTCTGGGTCAATCTCATTTCATCTGCTTTCCCTCTTTGATTCAAGCTTCTTCCGTATTCTCCATCCTGGTCCCTTTTCTTTTTTCTACCACTGTTATCCTTATTATTTGCAGCTTGTTCTCAAATGTTGTGTTGATTTATTTCTGTTGATACTCATGTGTTTTTGTTGCATGCCATCTCATTCTTTTGCTGGGGCTCCTCTGTAGAGGGAGAAGGGGAAGGAGGCAGAGGAGAGCATCTCAGACAGCCTGTCCATCCCCTCCCCCGTTGTCACCCCCCCTCAGTCACCTCAGACTGTCCCCCCAGCTCCCATCTCACCCATCCTGACGAACCCTCTCATAAAGATTGAGGACTCCTGTAAGTATTTGAGGGCTGCAGCTGCAGCTGAACCCCACACTTTGGTTTTAAGGCAGTTTCACACAAACAACATGATTCTGGGTTGTGACAGGGACTATTGTTATTATACATATGTCAAATAAAACACATTTTTAACATCAGCTCTGTACAAAGAGGCCAGAGGTTCTCAAACCGTACTAAAACCCCTCAAAAATGTCACTTTTTCAGATTTAAAATCAGGAAATACTACATAGCTGCATTTGTTCTAGGCTCGTTCATAAGCATATTATTGTGTATGTTTCTGATATTGTATTTGTGTTATAGGTCCTTTTTTATGGGAGGAACTGAGGATTATAAAACACTAAAATCATCTGAATCAAATCAAATCAAATCAACTTTATTTATATAGCACTTTTCATACAAAAAAATGCAACTCAAAGTGCTTCACAGGTTAAAATGGCCCCATAGATCCCATATTCCCATCCTAGCCCCCCTCCCCGAGTATAAAACAATTGACAATTACACTTTACCTCCCGCAACCAATTTCCAAGTTGAACGTACACTCACCCACACACTCGCACACTCGCACACACACACACACACACACACACACACACACACACACATACACACACACACACACACACACACACACACACACACACACACACACACACACACGTGAACAACAGAGTAAACAGCTCCAAACTGCTCCAAAAATTGCAAAAATAAAACTCGTAATATCTCAGAAACCGTTGCAGCACAAACGTCAGTTTCACCTGCACAAATCAGCACAAATGAAGCACTAAAAAAGTAGACTAATGTTGTCCATTTTGGAGCAGTTTGGAGCAGTCCGGGGGGACGGTGAACTCTGAATGACCTATAAAATAAAGTTTAATATCTCAGAAACCATAGCAGCACAAACGTCAATTTTACCTGCACAAATCAGCACAAACGCAGCACTAACCGAGCAGCCTTGTCTGCACTTTTGAAGCTGATGGGGGGTCAGCTTCACAGAGCTCGAGCTCTCGGTGGCCCATGTGGTCTATAGAATAGGATAACAAGGGCGCCAAATGAAGACGGTCCCCGTTTCACGGCTCTTCGCAGCGCTTCGGCGGCCGGTGTGTCCCCAGCGTTAGTTAACCCTTTAGGCCCTAGGCCTTTTTTCTTTGGGCCCTGGCGCCTCCCAATTGGGGCCTTTGGAGTTTCATGTCCCAAGTGTCAGTGATTGATTGCATTCCCCGAGCACAGCTACAGCTACCATCAAAACAGTTTAGTTTGTAAACAAAGCTATTTTTGGTTTTTGATACATTAAGATAATACTTGAACTTTATTTTAGAAGAGCTGCCCTGTGTGAAAGTGCTGACAGAGTGGAGGTTGTGAGTTCAAATTCCATTTAGGAAATTTAGTCAATTGTTTTATTTATTCCAGGGGTCCTCAACTGAATTTGTTCAAGGTTTTTTTTTCAGCAGACACCAGAGAAGGTCAGATGCTCTTCTAAAATAAAGTTCAAACATCATTGTATCTTAATTTATTACAATTTAAAATGACCTTGTTTCCCATCTGGGCTGTTTGATTGTGGTTTTAGTTGTGTTTGGAGAATGTGGACAGTTGTAGATGTTTGGGACATGAAACTGTAGAGGCCCCCAATTGGGGGGTGTTGGGGTTAAACTGGTTAAAATCTAAATTTTCTGCCTAAAACTGTCAGTGTTGTGCCGTCGTCAGGTAAAAACGTTGCACTACATTTGAATTTAAATCTGCCACCGCTATTGGCTAAGAGGTACACAATGACGGTAGCTGGTACATTATGATGTCACAATGCTGTTGTGAGCCGCCTGTGTGTGTGTATTTGTTAGAGGCTCCGCCCTCTCGGTCTGCCAGGCAACAGCATTTGTTACATTTTTCAAACATGAGTGGGAGTAGAGTAAGTTTCTTGTAGGCCCTTGCTCTTTAAATCAGAATTCCATGTAAATAGCCAAAGCCTTCCATGTAAATTTACAACTCCATAAGAGACACATAATTCAATGTAAACAAGAAAATTCCATGTGGACAACTGAATCCCCTGTAACTGGCCATGGATTTTTATGTACACATAAGAATTATATATAAACAAGAATTTTCTGTAAACAATCACAAAATGTAGACATCTGAATTAAACGTAAAAAGCCGCAGAATTCCAGGTAAACTCAAGAATTCCATGTAAAGAACCACATAATTCCACGTAAATATGAGAATTATAAGTAAAAAAGGATGTTCTGTAAAAAGCCACAGAATTCCATGGAAATTCCATGTTAAGAATTTTAAAATAGCTGAAGTACGTTTCCCCTCTGTTCTGAGAATTGCGACTGTGTCACACAACCTTCCCTGGAAGCATCCCGGTGAACTGTTTATCTGACCTGCCCACAGATTGAGAGCCATAAGCTGATGTTCCGTGAGATGGCCAAGGCTCGCACCGACCATGGTGCTGAGATCGTCTCCTTGGATGAGTCCCCCAATCAGCTCAGCACCGTGTCATCATCCGGCAGCATCAACATGGCCGACTCTCCACAGCTGTCCACGCTGGCCGACCAAGTGTCCGCCTCTTTGGCCAAACAAGGCTTGTGAACGCTCCGCCTACACCACACCACACCACCATCTAGAGGGGACGACGCCTTCCTCTTTAATTTCACTGGACTTTTTTTTAGCTACCCATCACCGTTTATCCTTCACTAACCTTATAAACTTCTCAAGATGTTAATATTAGAGATTGTAAAAGAAAAAAAAAAGATTAACCAGTAGGCCAAATGTGTTGATTCGCCTCTGAAGTCTCTAATCTCTCTACTGCAAATATTTCAACCTTTTTCAGTGACCTTTCAGAGTTAAAGCACCCCCAACAGAGCAAACCTACCCCTGCATCTGGCAAACAGAACACTGTTTCCTCTCAGACTGTAAACCTGTAAGAACCAACCTTTGTTGGGTATGTGTCTGCTAAGTGTTTCATTAAATGTGGAGACTGGAGTTGGAGGAAAATGCAGACGTTATCAGCTGCAGTTCGATTTAAACCAGAAGGAAATGGGGTTTAGGAGGGAAACTGTTCAGAGAAAAGTAGCAAAATTTCTTATCAAGGCAAAAAGTCTTCAGACCTCACTGCTGTCTTTGCTTTGTGTCGTCCCGACATGTGCTGCACATTCAGGAGTAGATGGTGGGTACTGAGAGCCAGACATCGAGTAGCGGAGGACCTCTGAGTTTGTGTGGAAGCTGATGACTGATTCAGGTGCTGATTGGCCCAAAGCATTCTGCTCAGATTCGGATCCCTTACAGACTCCACTGGTCACAAGCATCCCAATGCTAATCGCTAAAGCCCCGCCAAGTTCTTAGTCCAGCCAAAAGGATCAGTGAGCCTAAAGAATAACCTGTTTATGTAAAGCTCATGTTAAAAAGCACCTTTACATCAGTTTTCATGCATGCTAACTTCAGAAGTGTACTCACTAACTTGGTCTAAATCACTTGGTCAGTGTAGGGATGCTAATGATGTTTTGATGCTGGATAAATGAAGTTGACCTTGACCTACAAAACTGATGAAGTCACACTCAAGTATTATGATCCAGTAACAAGGATTTATCAGTGTTAGTTTCTGAATGCTGATGTAATCTATGAAATAATACAAGGTTGTTAATCATACATTAATAATCAGCTGTTAGTGAACAAATGCTAGCAACTAGCCTTGTGATGCTAATCCAGTGGTTAACCTCTCAGCTTCCCTGATTCAGAACCTCTCGGTGGTCTTTGTAGGGTTCCTTTATAGAGAAGAGTTCTGTTGGTGCTGGGCCAGTGTTCTGGTGGTTTCTGTGGATGGGTGACCTGTATTTGATATCAAGAAACAATTGTATCGTGCCTGCGGTGTTTCTTTTTTACGCACGCAGATAGGAGGGAGAATTTTGTTCGAAGCTTTTTGGTGTTATGATTAAATGATCAGTTCAGCTCATCAGTATTAAACAGCACCGAAACAGGCAGATTAAGGAGAAGGCCTTCACACAAAATGTTTTAGCCGGTTTGGATGGCCCTTTGGGGCCCAGGCAAGATGATGGGTGGAGTTTATGTTGTGGCGTGGGTCGTGAACGCAGCAGCAAACCTACAGCAGTGACCTCAACAACAAATAAAAAAAAAAACAAAAAAACAGATTGCTGCAGTTTCCTGCCAGAGATGTGAACATCGTCTAGATTCGGAGTTGGTTAAAACTGGTCCCTAGAATCTGCAGCTGGTTAGCTAGGCTGGAAGCCTCACAGATGGTCCTCTTAACATCAGACCAGCTAGCTTCTCCAGTGGTCAGATTAAAGAGAAGGCGCCCCAGTCCTTATCCTCAGCTCAGTGTTGCCAGATCCAAAATCCCACAATATCGTACAGAGGCCTAAATTATCGTTTTTCAGTACAAATTTTCGTACATTATAAATTTGATAACGTTCTATAAACGACTTCTCACTCCAATATATATTGGAGTGAGGAATTGGCCACATTATATAACCTTACAGTTTCTCGCGAGAGTAGGCCCTATCGATGTGATTGGGCTATTTATTGTACAGACCCAGGGTCAGTTTTTGTAATAGACACAATAGCATAAACCTGTAAGCACTGAGGTGAAATCTGACTTCAGAACAGTTTAACATTATGTAATTGACTTGGGAAAGCCACAGCAAAAGACAGTGTTACTAGATGCAATGTGAAATTATCGTACATTTGAGGATTTTTGAAACTATTGATCGTACATCGTACAGAGCCCAAAATTATGGTACAAATACGATAATTATCGTACATCTGGCAACACTGCCTCAGCTGGTCAGCCTCCTGGTGGTTCATGCTCACACTGACAACAGCTCCTTGTATAATTCATGCAAGAGTCGATCTGCCTGCTGCCCCCACCTCACCAAGTGATCTCCTTTGTAGTTTCTGCTCTGGATTCGGTGCTGATGTTGAGGATCTGTTTTCTGCATGCTGACCCGTTTAGTTGCAGTGTCTGACCTGAGGGATGATGGGAGCAGATCCCTGGCGAGCTGCGAGGGGCTGAACTAAACTCACCTTTTTGTTACTTCTGAACTTGTACAGATGTGGAAACGTGACCGTTCTTTATTGTGCATTTTATCAATAACTGGTTTATGATGATTCTTGTTGCTGTATATGTGTATTTGAAATAAATGCTTCAAAGTCACTCGAGTCTGAAGTCATTACTCATCCATCAAAACAAGACAGGCAGGAGCAAGCACGCCAAGTTAAACATAAATGTTTTAATGGTTCTATTTACAAAACGAAAATCAGCTGTTTGATTGGGTTAACTGCTGCAACAATCCAACAGGTACATCAACATCTTAACTACTAAACAAAACAGTGGCTGGATGGCTGTGGCATACAGAGGAGGCGGGAGATGAAGATTTTTTTTTGTTGTTTTTTTTGTTTGCATAGAAATTAGTTCATTAAGGGGATGGGATAGGGGTCAGAGGATCCGTGTGTTAAATCACACAATGGTGAGGCTGGAAAACAAAATCCGGTTTTAATCATTGAGAAAAGCTGTAGTGAAATAGATGAGAACCTGAGCTGAGGCGGCGTCGAACTGAGCTGCTACATTTATAACGGCTGAAGACCAAAAACAGAGTCCATGTTGCCATAATCTGATGAAACCAGCTGGGATTGTTGTGGTAAGACTCTTATTTGTCAGCATGCAGCAGCAGCTTTGTGCCAGGCAAGTGCTTCTAAATAAACCCCAAACACTGCTCCTGGCCTGTATGGTGCCAACCTGGGGGTCAAACAGGAACTCCAGAGACAACAGGAATGATTTACAACACAAAATATGTATTACTGAGCAGACAGAACAGGATTAACAAAACGTGTCGGGAATGAGAAAACAAACAAAGCAAACCAGCAAAACTACACTTGGCAGTAGAAGAAGTGCTCTGGTGATTTCAGGCGACCTCTAGAGGGAGGAGGAGGAACAACATCTCAAATGTACCTGCTCATCTGGTGGAGAGGGAAAGGGAGATTTTTTTTTTTCATGTTTTGTTTTTTGTCACTCCACTAAAAATGTACATGGGGATTTACAAGCAGACTAGTCAATAGAAAACACCCTTTGGCCACGTTTGGAGGAGTCGGCTACATAGTGCGCTACAAGTGTACACGCGACGCTGAAACACCACTAAGCCCCATGTACATTGTTTAGCCTCTACTACACGATCACTTCCTGCAATGTGTTGTTTTATAGTCCGTTTTTTTTAACATTTATCTTGTTTTGTGACAAAAACAAGTGTGGGGAAAGGCTTCTATCTCCATAATGTTCACTAAAAACTGTGAAAAGTTTAGACTGATGTTTGAATATCAAACAACAGGAACCCATTTAACATCCTTGTCAGCGTTGAGGTTCTGCTTGTTAATGCCAGAGAGGGGCCGAGCCGAGGCCCGCCTGTCCATCACTCATCGGTGGGCGGAGGCCCGGAACTTGGAGACACTGTCGTCGTCGCAGGCCAGCTCAGGGTCGTCCGAGTCCAGACGTGCATAGGCTGTTGCTCGGCAACCGGAGATGGTGCGCATTCTGGGCCTGATGTGGTCGGTTTCGGGCTCGGGAGCCGGGTCTTCTTGAAGAGGGAAGCTGCGACGCTCCCATGGTGCCACCGTCTGAAATCGTGCAACAATAAGACATTTTAGAAGGAGGCATGTTTAGAAGGATCCTCCAGTTCGGATATCTAGCGTTTATTGGGATGACATGGAAGGTTTAGATGGTGAGAGTTAGATCGAACCACAGGTTTGGGTTGAGGACCCATCAGGACTGGTCTAGTGCTGCAGGGTCAGGTTCTGATCATCCAAACAGACCCAGAACACATGATTCTAATCTCAGATGAAGCCTCTTCCTGTTTCTAAACATTTGTAGTTTGAAATTATGGATTTCAGACCTGTTAGAAGTTGTGTGTGTGTGTGTGTGTGTGTGTGTGTGTGTGTGTGTGGTATTAGTAGAAATGGTGGTGGTAGTAGTTCACTTTATTAAAGACACAAATATGTCCGTATCACAAGGTTTAAAATAAGGTGGGGAGAAAAAAAAAGTGTTAAAAGCCTAAATTGACACTGAAACATTAATGATTCCATATTTCACAATCATTCCTAATAGGGAGCCTCATGCCAGATCACATCAGCTGCAAAGCGCCACGTCACTCAAAGTTCGCACACTGCCCGCTGCTCCTCTTTTCACATCAGGCGAGAATTTTTGATGAGCCCTTTTGCTCACGCCTACGGTTTTTTTTAAACACCCCCACCCCTGTGCCCTTGCTGTGTGTGTGTGTGTGTGTGTGTGTGTGTGTGTGTAACCAGTTGACCCCACTTGTTGATATCAAAAACTGAGCTGATCCTGCTGCTGTTTCTAAATTATTAAGTAAATAACTAGTGTTTGTGGTTGTGTACAATGCTTTGTATGAAACGTATTTGTTTGTGTTCACATTTATTACATCTTTTTGCTGTAAAAACTGCATTAAAATTATAGAAACGCCATGTTTCTCTGCAGGAGTGTGTGTTTGTGTGTTCATTTTCATCTCTCAAATATTTAGATACGCAAAAATTGTCACTTATCAGTATTTACTTTGAAAAATGTCCATTTTGTTAGAATTTACTGGCCTGCCTCCTGTTTTGGTTTCGACTTAGTCGCAAACAAATGAGCACACGCCATGACGATCTCTGGACGGCGTGCTTTGCGGCTGACGTGAGCGAGAAAGTAGATTAACAAGGGCGCAAAATAGAAGCGCTCTTCATTCCTTTGTGGTGCATTTTCGTGTCCAGGCGTAGGTCGTGCCCATCTATTTCCCCGGAACAACTAAAACATGAATGCAAGTCAGTAGGGCTAAAAACATTATTTTCTATTCTTGCTTGTTATGTACTATGGGTGTCAAATACGATGTCCGTGAATTCTAAAGACACATTTTAATACAGAGAACGTGTTTATTTTGGAACGGGGGAAATTGCCATTTTAGGTTTTGTGTGAATGCGCTTCACAAAAGTGACATCATCACACATGACACAGAAAAACAGGAAAATGGGAAGTTCAGCAACCTTCAAGTCTTTCTGTCAGGAGGAAAGAACCACCATAAATCTGGCCACCTAGCAGCTACGTTAGGGGAGAGAGGATTCTGTGGAGACGTCATTAATGTGACGTGCCGATGTCTGATTTTTAGTCATGCTAATTACAAACTTTAACAAGCTTATACATAAAAGTCCCTGACAGGCGTGGTCGAAACACACATTACTATGCATTTAAAACAAAGTATAACATATAAGCGATCCAGGGCGTAAGGCAAAGCGGATTAGAAAACAGCTTTTTTAGCCCCGTTGACTTGCATTCATTTTATCGTTCTTCTGGGGACCCACGACAGGGAGGAGACAGGCTCCCCATATCAATCACACACTGTGTATTTTAAATGATAAAGCTTAGCTATAGGCGGAGTTTCTAGAAAACAACTGGTTCTGATATAGGTGGTGCCACACACCCGTTCCTCAAAGGTGAAGTCAGGCGTCGAGCAGCGTGTGTCCTCGTTGGACAGCAGTCGGTGCGAGTCCCTGGAGCAGGGTGTGTGGGGGTTGGAGGACGCATCAGGGCTGGCTGGACTCATGGGTGATGGCACATGGCTGTAGTCATGGAGACTGGGGCAGTGACCTGGGTCTGGGGACGCGGGCTGTGGGGTGGGAGGGTTCGTCCCATACAGGAGCGGTGTGGTCCGTCCATCCACCGATTTATAGGACCTGAAAGACAGTGAAGGGTCAGACCTGCAGAAGGACATAGCAGGAACGGTGATCTGGACCAGGACTCACCTGCTGCCCCTCCTCTTAGCAGGAGCCAGAGCCATCCAGGTCCAGCGGGACCGCTCCTGGTCCTCGTAGGGCTGATGAAGCTGGATGAAGGCTGCATCTGAGAGGTCCTCCACCTGCAGGATCACAACAATCCAACAGTTCATCGTCATCATTTTGTTTCACACCGAGATAAAAACATAAAAAATGTAAACCACTTCTGGACTTGCCACCATCCAAACTAACAGCAGATCCAGATGTTCATGCAGCTCTTTCTTCCTATGAATCATAATTTTGACCACCAGGTGTCCCTGTTCACTCACAGCTACATATTTACACCAACATTACCATTCATTTCTTTTTTTCCCACCTTCAATCAAACTACATCAGTTCAAAGGAACCAGAACAAAACAGGAAGTGGACCCACCTCGCGCTCGTCCTCCTCTTCAGTTATGGGCAAACAGAAAACATCCACAGATCTCCAACTAAAGGAACAGAAAACAGTCAGCCCCAGAACTCCCATCAGAGCCAGAACCACACTTGGACGCAGTCTCTACCTGGGTGTGAGGATCTCTTTGTACTGGAGCTTCTCCACCCGGGTGGTGGCTGCCACCGACATGGGTATCACGATGTTGTTTATGTCAAACGAGCTTTCACCTCGCCGCCGCTTGATGGGCTGCTGCTGGAAGACCAATCAGAACACACAAATCAGACCAGTGCTGAAGCGGGTCAACACCCACTTGATCTTAAGGCTGATTCATGCTTCTCCGTCAGCTCCGCAAGGGACAGACACGCACGGACAGACAGAAGCGTTTTGCTCTCATACTTCTCCGTCTCCTGGAGAGTGTTGCAAAGCAATTCCCCGCCAGGACAACAGAGGGCGTAGCGCTGTTCTGTGGTATCCTGTCAGGTATCGGTCCAAGATCGTGTGTTTATATTGTGTTTTTTGTACATAAGAGACTTTTTAACACGGACAAATTTGTCTCTCATTCTCCTTCACCCCTTCATGCGCTCCCCACCTCTAAACCCACGTTTCCTGTCATTTCCGTCCACAAATTAAACGCTTGCTGCGCATCTTTTCACTCCTCCAGCTACGGGGGAATTAAACGTTTATAGTTTTTTTCGCGAGGTATTCTTCAAGCTTCTCCGTGTCTGCCGCTAGTTATTCTCGGCTCTTTTTATGTTTTTGAGGGCGCAATGGCGGCGGTGTAGACGACAGCGATGCCCTGACCAATCACAAGCGTGCGTTCTCCATCTCGACGGACGGATGTTTAGAAAAGTGGGCTCGACTCCGTACGTACTTGCGTGCCTGCCAGGGCCCTACGCAAGGACGGATAATGGCGTTGCGTGTCTCCACACTGACGCAGACGGAGACGCATAAATCAGCCCTAAAACTCCAGAGCCTGGTTTTTGTTACTGTTCATAAATAACCCCAAATACATGTTTATGAAATCAGACATTTTGTTTAATAAAACTTTTTGAAAATTAAACACTACATGTTTTATTCCAGTAAGTAAAGGACACTTAGATGCCCTCCATCTGATTGATCATAAACTCACTTCCTGTTTTCAGGCAGAAGTAGATTTGTTCCTTCAAAGTAAAACTCCTGTGACCATCGACAGTTCCAAGAACACGGGTTGTGTTTCATCTGAAGCTGATTGGATCAGAACCACATCTGATTGTGACATCACACAGAGCCAGCTAGACCAGGTTCATGCGGATGATTTTGGGTTTCCAGGGAAAAACCTCAGCCTCATGTTAAAACAGGGTTGTTACACTTTTCCCAGTGACAAATTCAAGCGTCTCCAAGGTTAATTTTCAGACTTCTTAAGCATCATACGTTAAAGACAAGACAATACACAAGAACTCAAGAGGAGAGTTTCACCTCACCTCACATTAACAGTGACGATCTTATCCAATCACAGGATTGGACATTGGCCCTGATCACATTATTTTAAATTGGAAGCAGGTGAAAGAGATCAGATATAACACTATAAAGCAACAAGGAAGACCTTTTAAATTCATCCTCAGAAAGAATTTCAAACATAAGGATGTCTTAGTTTTAACCATCTGCTTTTAGTTCTAGTCTGCCACCCTGAAACCAAACACCCAGCTCTCCCAGTTCACAGCAGCAACTCAAACAAAAACACACAACTAGCTAACACAGAGAGAGAAATTGCCTATGAACAGCTAAAACACAACCAGGAAAGCAGTACATTATTCACGCTGAATGACTGTGGTTGCAAATAGTTTGTGCAGCCTCCTGGAGCCGATGAAGGAGCTGCTTTCTCATCACTTTTTTCACATCCAGCACTACAGGTGCAGGGAAGAGCGAGCCTGCCAGCCGCAACATGCGTGTATCCTGGTGATGTTTATCGCACAACACAGCCACACACTTTTTAAACTATTTTAATTCTAAGCAATGAAGCTATAATCAAACATGTTAGTAATATTAACACATTTTTTATCAATGGTCTTCCTGACGAGACAAGAGAGACAGACTAGGTTGAATTATATTGTCCCTGTGTATCATAGGTATTACAAGTAGGTGTTGCTGCTGAATAAATGATAAAATGGCTTGCCACAGTAGGTCTGGTCTGCTTTTGCAACCAAACACAGTACATGGAAGCTTCGGTTCACAAACAGACGCGATGAATGACCAAGTGCTTTATTAAATGACTGGTGTTTCTATGTTTAGTGAAACAAATCTGAACACGTTACATTTAGTTCTACTGTTTACTTCAACAAGATGCAGCCGAAACTTTTTTTTGTTGGTATTTTATTAGTTCACGAACTCGGAGATGTTTTGTAAACAAAATTAGTGGCCGAGAAAGCAGCCTACATCTGATGTGAACCGCAGCATTGGGAGGAGTGGGGCGTTGCAGCTTATAACAGGGAAAGTACCAAAACTTAGCAGCGAAAAAAATCTTTCCTACTGTTGTTTTGGGTACCCTGCTACAGTCCTGATTGCATAACTAAGCATCACATCCCGCTGGATCCTAGAACCAAAGCACACGCGCGTGACAAGCAAATATGTTTCATAGTTAAAGTGGGTCTGCTACAAAGCGAAGCCAGAAGACACCGCTGGAGTCTGCTGCTCACACACCGGTGTTACAGAAAAGAGCCGACCCCCATGGAGCAGCAGCAGCAGCATTTATTAAAGGTAAAATGATAACTCTAGTTTTCAGTATTTACAAATTTTGTTTTTTAATCAAACTAAATTGATCACAAATATAAAACTGAAGTTTGTTTTTCAAACATTTTCAAATACTTAATACAGAAATCAAGCACTTTCCATACCTTGAAAACATGTTATTAAAATAAAAGCATTGTCAAGGATTTCAAGCACCGTAACGAACCCTTTAAAAGCATTATAACCTACAAAGCTAAGGGTAGCAGTCGGTCAATTGCAGTTTTCTGGATACGAGCACCCACCAACCTCCGTTAGCTTTGGTTAGCTCGTAGCCACCTCGGCTCAGAGTTTGATGGGAGTCAATTACCTGCCCTCCACCCTCACAGCTCTATTTTTGTATTTTCCTGGAGTGACAAGACGTATGACGTGGCCAAGATGGAGGTGGTGGATACTGCCCACTGGACTTCCAATTCACTTCTTTTTTTTTTTTTTATTCAAGTTTGTATTGAACTTTCTTTTAGGGGCTGGTACATAGCAGTCTCAATAGATACTAAACATGGAGGTACTAAATATACAGATATAACAGTTGATTTTGGATACAGGTCCCAATCATAGAACTCTTGCAGACACGTAATGTCTGAGTAACAGCAGTCACATAACGTGCTTGATTTCACCCAAGGCCTTTGTCTTTATAAAGTTCCAGAATCCATCCCAGTTCCCTCTCTGTTGTCTTCACTCACTACAACTACTACTGAGCATACATTCACATGATGCAGATTCGGCCATTGCACAGACCCATTCCTTAACCTCTGGAGATTCTACTGCTTTCCAGTGTCTTAAAATGACTCCACAGGCTGTTGTTAATCCCACTGAGATGATTGAAAAATTACACTTATTTACATTAGGCAACTGAGATTTATCTCCCAATAAGCACAGTTCTGGGTTAAAGGGATGTCTGTTCCACACCAATTACTTAGGATCTTGACAATACGGGTCCAAAAACATCTGATAGGAGCACTTCAATTCACTTCTTCAGAAACCAACGGGTGATGATGTAGAGGCTTTGTCCATATTATATGTACAGTTTGATTTTTCATCACATTTGTCCTGATAAATAACAGACTGAAACATGAACAGAACCCGTTTCAGGTGCTGCTTGACCATCAGCGTTGTGTGCTGGATCCTTACCGATGTGCTGGGGATGCTCTGGCTGCTCAGACCCAGCAGTGTGGAGTTCTCAGAGGACGTGGACAGCTGGCGGGTCAGAGGACTGTGAAGCGCTGAAGGCATGGTGGTCAGAGCCGTGCAGGGGCTGCTTGAGTCCAGGAACAGTTTAGGGGATGCTGGAAAATGAAAGTAGATTTGGGTTAAATACTTCATTCAGCTCTGCGCAGTGGGATTCTGGTTCTAAAGAACTCACAGTCTGTACGATCTAGCGAGTGCTCTCTGAATCTCTTCCGGCTGTAGTTCTTGTCATACGGCCCAAATGGGGAGGCAAGGCCATGCAGTCGCTCCGTCTTACAGCCAGACTGGTTATCTAGTCTGGGCATGCTCATTACGGTGCTGCTGCTGCTCATGCTGCTGTCGACTGTCCTCTGCTTCTCAACCCGGTTCTTATAGTGACTCAGTCCTACAACAACAGGAACAGGATCGTCAGATCCATTTAGGATTTCAGGTTCAAGTGCTCTAAAGCCCACTGATTACATCTGGAGTTTGGTCATAGCTGTAGTTATGCTGCTATAGGCTTAGAGTGCTGGAGCACATACTGATCACTTTCCACACTCTACTTTCTTCTACCACTTCTCTTTAACTGCATTATTTCCTGCTATTTCAGCTGTTAACTTTAATTTCTCTCCAAGTGTTTTTCTCTCCGGAAGAAACTACAACGGTGTTCTGCTGAGCTGTGGTGGCCTCATGGTGGGGGGCCATCGGCTGGCACATTGCTGCTAACCACTCAACATCTTTGACATGGAATGTGCTACTACTAGTTCACCTGTTGAATTAATTATATATTCACTCAGATAAAGAAAATAAAGTTTATCTTTTTTTAAATAGAATGTTTATTGAGAAATCACAATGTAGCCACAAAAACACTACTTGGTATATATGTTTTGTGTTGGTGTGTGTGTGCTCTGTCTTCTCGATCCCCAGTGAGTCATGGCAGATGGCTGCTTATACTGAGCCAGGATCCTCTGGAGGTTTCTTCCTGTTAAAATGGAGTTTTCCTCTCCACTGTTGCTGCATGCTTGCTCAGTATGAGGATTGCTGTGAAGACTGATGCTAGTCAGTGACTCTATGAAATCTGCTGGGTTCCTTATATAGGAAACTTTTTACTGATAGGCTTAAAGAACTGAATGTTTACTATGTGAAGTGCCTTGAGACGACTTTTGTCGTGATTTGGCGCTATATAAATAAACTGAATTGAATCACTCCTGACATTCCCAAGAGCCTGCTCATGGATGAGGAACTGGTGTGCAGAAACCAACATGCTCACAAAACAGATTCTCCTAAGTTTCACAACCTTTACGTTCATTGAGAGGAAAGAGATGTGGCATTTATAGACTGAGGGTTTATCATTTCACCATGGAGGCATCTGGACTTACTGACTGCCATCAGGGAGTTGGTGAACTTGTGCTTTTCTTTGGACGAGGAGAGCTTGTGTTTCAGGGAGAGCTTCTTCAGTGGTTTGCTCCTCTCCAGCGACTTGGTCTGCCACTGGCTCTTCATCACCTGCTGCAGGCGCAGACCCACAGAAACGTCTGAGAAAGAGAGGTGGCGTTAGGACTGATTTATACGTCTCTCAGCTCAGGTTCATAGTCACATGCACTGATGGAGACGATTTCCCTTCAGAATTCTCTGTTGCCTGAAGAGCAATTTCCTGCCGGGACAACAGAGGGCGTAGCGCTTTTCTGGGGTATCATGCCAACATTACAGCATGTATCTGGTCCTTGGTACTGCTTCCATTTGTATTTATAATGTATTTGTGTAATTTGGAGACTTTATGACAAGGAAAAATTTGTCCTTCATTCTCCTCCACCTCTTCATGCGGTCGCCACCTCCAAACACGTTTGTGTTGATGCATGAAGGCATGGCGTGTCTCCATACCCCCACAGACGGAGGAGTATAAGTCAGGCTTTAGAGAATCTTTGGATTCTCTTTACAAGTGCACAACAACCACATGACTCTAATGGATCTAGTGAAGTTCCAGTAAAACCACGTTTTGTTAATTATTTGTTACAGAAACAAATTCTAGTTTGTTTTAATGAGACGGAAGAAAGGGGACAGTAAATGATGCAGCAAAGAAAACCTTTGATAACTACTTAAAGACTGAAGGTGATGGGAGAATTTCCTGTCGAGCAATCACTAGAGCCGCTCCTTCAGTCAGACCCTGCAAAAGAGGAGGACATGACTGGAGGGGGGAGGGGGAGTCTGGCACTCACCATCGGGAAAAGACAGGATGGGGTGGACGCTGAGATCCAGCCTGGACAGGCGCTCTAGAGTAGGCAGCTCGTACTGAGGGTCCTCCTTGGGTGTGGGCCAGCCACCACACGTCACACAGCTGGAGTTTACTCTACAGATGCACTGGACACAGTTGCTTCTGGAGGCCTGCTGAAGATGGGGGGGGGGGGGGGGGGGGGGGTGTTAGCTACCACACCAACGACACACGCCAACAGGATGCTCCACTCATGGAAGAACTTCCTGTCTCCAACTCTCTCAGAAAAACCTGGTGGTGGACTCAGTGGTCAGCCATGTTTAGATTACTCAGTCACCAGGTCACTAACCAGTCGAGCTGCATTTTAAAAGAAACGGGCTGCAAAAGTCGTAGTTCGACGTTGGCGCCAGAATATTTAACCCTTTAGGCCCTAGGCCTTTTTTCTTTGGGCCCTGGCGCCTCCCAATTGGGGCCTTTGGAGTTTCATGTCCCAAGATTGATTGCATTCCCCGAGCGCAGCTACAACTACAATCAAAACAGTTTAGTTTGTAAACAAAGCAAGTTTTGGTTTTTGATACATTAAGATAAGATAATACTTGAACTTTATTTTGGAAGAGCTGCCCTGTGTGAAAGTGCTGACAGAGTGGAGGTTGTGAGTTCAAATTCCATTTAGGAAATTTAGTCAATTATTTCATTTATTCCAGGGGTCCTCAACTGAATTTGTTCAAGGTTTTTTTTTCAGCAGACACCAGAGAAGGTCAGATGCTCTTCTAAAATAAAGTTCAAACATCATTGTATCTTAATTTATTACAATTTAAAATGACCTTGTTTCCCATCTGGGCTGTTTGATTGTGGTTTTAGTTGTGTTTGGAGAATGTGGACAGTTGTAGATGTTTGGGACATGAAACTGTGGAGGCCCCCAATTGGGGGGCGTTAGGGTTAAACTGGTTAAAGATCTTTTCCACTCAAGTCCATTTCAAACATGCTCAATGACTCATGATGAATAGCCTGCTAGGAGCGGGGCTCACCTTTCCGTTGATGTTAGTCACCAAGTTGGGCTGAACAAGTCGCCGGCGTCGACAGTAGATCAGCGGCCGTGTGCGTGCAGCCACACACGTGCTGTCGTATGCCAGCGGCGTCTGCAGCTTCGCATCAGTGCTGTCGGCCACCCTGGAAAAAAATGTCAAGACCAAAATTCAGACGCATTTCTGTTTGAGATGGATGTCACCAACACATCCGACCCAGTTTTACAAATGTTGAGCTTAAATCTGTTGAGATGGTAGCAGAGTCCTGCGCAGCACACAAACTCCTGTAGCTCCGGGCAGACGACGGTAAAAAGGTCAAAATAAGTTACACTAGATAACCACACAGAAGTCATCATTTACAGAGTCTGTGTCTAGATCAGGAAGTAGTTTGCCCTGGTTGGGTCCAGCTGGTCCCACAGAGGTCCAGGTGAAAGAAGAATATGGTGCTGGTGCTCATCTTTGAGGCCTCATGACCAAAACTAAAACATCTACTCTCCCACTAAGCTATAAGTAAAAACAAGCTAGCCAGCAGGTTCCAATGAAGATTCATCGTGTTTTGATAAATATTTGATTTAAAAAGATGCTTCTGGGATTGTTCTAGTCTTTAATTTTGTCTCACATTTGTTGGTTTCAGTCACAACTAGTCTACATGTGGCCTGTGAGAACAGATCTTTGCCTTTTGTGTTGATGAAAAGAATCAGAGTCTAATCACTGAAGCTCTGCGTGACATCAGCATCTCAGAATTACAAATCCATGAGAGAGGAGTAGGATCTGGTGGTCCTTCTGGGAAAGTGACAGGAGGTAAATCATTAGCCGTACCTGCTGAGGACGCCGTTAACCGGCTGCCCATTGTGACCTTTCCACGGGCCCTGCTCGGTGCTGCTTAAAGGGGCGGTGCTCGAGTTCTCCAGCCGTTCTGCACCACCTTCCTGCTCCGACAGATAAGACAAAACCAGTGAGACTACACCTCATGTTAACTGCAAGGGGCTGACCCTGCAGCACTTAGCCAGGCCCGGGTATTCAAAGAAACAACAAATCCAATCATCCAGAGGTTGTAAATTATTCAGTCCAAGTTTTTTAAAAAGGACTCCGTCCTCCCAATGCTCAAAATGTGCTCAGCACCACCCAGAAGCAGAGTTTTAGCTTCATCACAAGCTCTCACTCACAAATGCAGTTCTGTGGCTTCAGTCCCATTTCTGTTCTACTAAACCTACTGCACATAGGTCCCATTCTTTTTCAGCAGCCTTTAGAGCAAAATGTCATTAACAAATGACATCAAATTCAACCAGGGTTAAGTAAAAACAAATTTAAACCATCACGAGGAGAATCCCCACAGTTCTGCTTTAACTCTCAGACAGAAGTGATTTATATCCACATGTTTGAGGTTATCACACAGCTCCAATTTTATCCAGATCATTCTGACCTGAGGCTCCTTTCATTTCCCCTTTGACTAACAGAACAAACCTTTTGAATGATGAGGCGAGTCAGGAACATTCAATCCACACCAAAACAAACATTTAACTAAGGCCCTGTCCACACGTAGCCGGGGATCTGCCAAAACGTAGATATTTTTCTACGTTTTGGCCTGTCATCCACACGAAAACGGAGTTTTTTCCACACGAAAACGAATCTTTTTAAAAACTCCGGCCAAAGTGAAGATCTGCGTTTTCTCCGTTTTGGGTGTCTGCGTGTGGACAGACAAAACCAGAGTTTTAAGGTCCGCAACGTCACTTTCCGCGACAAAAAAATGCTGACATCACGTGTGCGACCTGTGTTTACACTAGCCGACAGCATGGATGCCCTCAGAGCTGCGCTCGCTTTATCAATTGTCCAAGCGCTTTTTGCTTGTTTGTTTTTGCAAGCGGAATTACTGCTCCCTGCGGAAGACCACAGACGAAGGACGAGGTTAAGAACGGGGGAAGTACTGCCGCCTACAGGTCTGGCATGTCCTTAACAACGTATTTATCTGGGTACGTGTGGACAGAGTTTTTTTTAAACGAGGTGGTGTGGATGCAAGTTTTTGGAGGGGCGGATATTCGTTTTAAAAAAAAAACAGGCTACGTGTGGACTAGGCCTAAATATTAATTACCATGTTCATCTATCATTTCAGCTCAAAGATAAAACGCTGTGCTCTGAAATACAGAATGTGTGACTTCCTTCTCAGAAAGATGTCAGATTTGTAGCTGCTACAACATTCACCAGATGCAGACAAACTCACACAGAAACCCTGCAGCTTCCTGCCGAGATGCAACCAAGAATAGAAGAGAAAGACATGGCGCTCCACTCACCTGAGTATTTACACCCTCTGTCTTTTCCATCCCACCTGTGAGCGCAGCGCTGGGGGCAACACCACCCAACTCCACCGAACCCTGTAGAGGTATAGAAGTGTTACTGCTAAAAAGTACATTAGGAGAACGCCATCGCCATGGAGGGATGAATCCCTGAGACTTCATCCTCGTTATCAAAGTCTATGTTAAAGAAGTTAAATAAATCACATTTCCCTAAAAAAATCCACAATGTTAGCATACAGATACATTTGACAATAAGTCAATTTGGTTGTTTCCCCAGTTTAAGGGACATTTCCAACATTCTGAAGTGGTTTTCTGAGTAAAAGTTCTAAATAATTCTTCTGAACTGATGTAGATGAACAGCTAGCCCGAGCCAACAGCTAACCTGACTGGAGACCAGATTTAAGTGTGTTCCTGCCATGTTCAGCTCTAAACTCCCACATTTCCCAGATATTCAGATGTCATTTTTAAACATTTTCTAGAGTCTCATTACAATCATAACATCTAACAAATAAGCTAAATACAAATGAAACTCAAAAAATTAGAATACAGAGCAAAAGTTCGATAACTTCAGCAATTCAACTTAAAAGGTAAAAAAAAAAAGGAGTTTATGTTTATTTATTTAGCAGACGCTTTTATCCAAAGCGACTTAAAATTTATAACCTATAGGGCATGTTGTGATCTTTGGGGGAAACCGGAGTACCCGGAGGAAACCCACGCATGCATGGGGAGAACACGCAACTCCACGCAGAAAGACTGCAGCCGAGTTTCGAACCTACAACCTTCATGCTGCGAGGCAACAGTGCTAACCACTGCACCACCATGCAAAGCCAGCCATTTCAGCCTTTGTCTGTTATAATTGTGATGATTATGGCTTACAGCTGATGAAAACCCTACGTTCAGAATCCCAGACTATTAGAACATTGTGAAAAGGTTCAATAATCTAGACTCAAAGTTTATGTTTAAGTATTTAGCAGACACTTTTGTCCAAAGCGACTTACATGTGATAACGAAGCCAGCAGGTTGTCCTTGAGGCTAACGACAAACACTAATCAGTCAATCCTAGGTGGCAGTGAGGCAGCATAATCAATCATAAAGGGAAGTGAACAAGGAGTGTCACGTTCTGATCAGCTAATGAATCCAGAACACCCGCAAAGGTTTCCTGAGCCTATAGATGGTCTCCCAGTCCAAGTTGAATTTCTGAAATAGATTGACTTATGGACCATATTCTAATTTTCAAGTTTCATTTGAAGTTATTAATGAATTTATAACTCTGAGGTTGCTGCAGGGTGAACGACAGTCTCAGTAAACGTTTTTATAGATTTTGAGAAAAACTACAGGTCCTCTTAGTATTTTCTCTGAAAAAGAATACACCAGTCAGAGCCACATGAGGACAAATTATCAGCAAGAAATTAACTACTGGGAAAATAAATGTGTAGCATGAAATAAATGCTTATATTAGTTTAATGCACTTCCCAAAAACAATAATAATCATTAAACAGTTTCAAAGAACCTTGTCAAATAAAAAAATATTGTGAATCAGTATCAGTTTCATAGAGTAATGTATGATAGAAACTGAAGGTCTAGTCTTCTCTCTCATAGGGATCTCATCCCCACCCCCGTTCCCACCCCAAGACCTTCATAAATATTAGTAAACAAATGAACCTTGCTGGCACGGATCTGTCTGTAGATGTCGGTCTGCTGCCGGATGCGGTACTCCAGGTCTGAGATGTGGGCCTGAAGCCAGTTCCAGTGGCTGATAATGGCAGCTCGTTCTACGGTGTAGCGACTCTCTGCCCGCTTCCATCTGTGGGAGATGGGGAGGAGATGTGAGTGCCTGTTTTAAGGTGAGCACCGTTACAATGCCAAGACTAAAATCTAAATATTAAAGTTATCAATATGCAGCCGGATTCAGCAGAATGGAGGCAAATGAGGTCATCTTTCATTGGATCATGTGTGATACAGAGCGCGCACACGCACACGCACACGCACACACACACACACACACACACACACACACACACACACACACACACACACACACACACACACTTCCCTGACAGACTGCAGAGGTCAGTGAATCTGCGCTACACTGAACTCCCTGGAACAACAACAGCAGCAGGAAATGAAGCCAAATACATAAAGACCACGAAAACATTACAAATGTGTGATAAATGAAACAAATATGCTTTCATTCCACTGGTATGTTCTGTGTCAAACAACACAGCAGCGTAGAGCTGGGTTCTCCATTTTACCAGTATGACACACAGAATGGGCATTTCAAAGGCAGACATGAGAGGAAAATGTCTGCTCCTGAACTGAGAGGCAGTAGCCACAGGGGGTGCTGTTTCTCTGGAATTTAGGACACTGACTGAACAATGAAAATAATGACTCAGATGGCAGACAAAGATAAACCTTGCACTCCTGCTTTCTCTACCCCCACACCCCATCCTGTTTTTAAAATTTTTAGAGCACGAGGTTGGATGATGTTGAGAAAGTCTACTGTAGAAAGAGAGCGCGCGAGGGTGGTGGTGGGGATAGTGTAGTGTGAGCAAGAGGGGAGAAAAAAATGGGAACAGGGCTATGGAGCTCTGGCAGTCTGGAGAGGAACAGACGGGCTTTAAAAGCAATCTAGAGGCCAGAGAGCGCTGGAGGGGGTTGGGCTGGGTCACGAAACACAGACAGCAGGATAACCAATAATCTAACTGAGAGCTACTGGAACAGACGTCACACACACCAATCAGAGGAGTCAAAGATCCCTTCAGCCCTCCTCCTTTAGTCAATATCTATGTCGGTTCACTGCTGTACAGTAACAATGTCAGCCAAGAATACAGCTAAAGCATATCCTGCTAGCATCACTTCCTTCAGCTCTCCTACAGTCTCAGCCCTGTTCTGCCGAGTTAAACAATCATACACTCCTCAAACAAAAACATGACCAACACTGCAACACTCGTACACAGTTGACTCCTCCTAATTATTTAAATCATCATATTGCTCAAAGTACAGGGCGAGGAGGAGGAGTAGCAACCATTTTTCATTCATTTGTTGTAGGGATCAAAGGAACAGCGCTAGGCTGGTTTAAATCCAACCTGCCTGACAGGTTTTATTTTGTTAATGTACATGACAAATCTTCATACTCCAGGGTTACTTGTGGTGTACCACATGGTTCAGTGCTTGGAATAATTCTTTTACTATATATATGCTTCCAATTGGTAAAATCATTAGACAGCATGGGATAAACTTCCACTGTTATGCTGACGATACTGATATGTCTATCCATTAACCCTGATAAACCTAATCGGTTAGTTAGATTACAGGCTTGCTTTGAAGACATAAAAAATTGGATGACTCAACTTTCTGCTTTTAAATCAAGACTGAAGTTCTCATCTTTGTACCTTAAATTCAGAAAGGGAAATTGCTTAGTCAATCACCTGACCTGAATGGCATTAAATTAAATAGTCACGTAACAATGAATGTAATCATCTCAGAAGCGTAAATGTGTGTGGTGTGTGTACATAATAATGTAAATTCAGCTTGAATCATTCTCATTCTATACAAAATGCATTGTAGAGGCACTGGAAAAAAAAATTGATTCATGGCTGAAATTAGATTTATAGACTGATTCATAAATATTCTGATTCGATTTTGTCTTAAAGTCGTTAACTGCCGTATTTCCAAGTGTCCCTGAATGCGTCATTGCTGGAGCCAGCACTACCTGCATTACCCTGGTTTCACATGGGAAGAATCAGGGTCATGAAACAGCAGCGGGACGTAGGGTTGGACATTTGTAGGGATGTGAATCTTAGAGCAACTCACGATTTGATTCGATTCAGATTCTTGGGGTGCCGATTCGATTCAGAATCGATTCTCGATTCTCAATTTAAATCGATTCACAATCAGTATTAACAAAGAGTGTGAGCTCCAGGATTAAACTACTTTGTTGTAGGGCCCGACCGATATATCGGCCGGCCGATATAGGGGTCTTTAACACTATCGGCCAAAAAGACGGCCGACATTGCACTACCTATCCAGAAGATGGCGCCAGCTTTATGAACTCATGTTGTGTGGCTCCACTCCTGGGGGGGGGGGGGGGGGGGGGGGGGAGCCACTGTCACAGCACACATGCAGCGGAGCAGCAGAAGCAATTCAGTCAAGCAGAGAGGACGGTGATGAGGAAGTAGGGGGTAAGTGTTCAGTTTTAAGCATAGTTGTTGTGTCAGTGGTAAGTTGAACGGTAAAATAAGCAATGAAAGCAATGATAAAAGTATGTTTCCCCTCAACATGCTTCCTAAGTTTATTGTGTGCCTCGTGGCCTTGTATTGAAAAGTTAACCTGAAAAAATAAAATAAAACTGCCGCAGTATTACGCTCTATGCAGAGCTCACGCTGCTTCCCCTTTTTCTGCTAGACATTCTGGAATATTCTCAGACAATTGCCTCTGCTCTTCAGTAGTCTTTTCAAACTCACGCGGTTCACCTGCGGCTCGCGAAAAAAATAGTGCAGACGGCGAAACGATCGCTGCACGGCGGAGCGCAGCGCTTCGGCGGCCTATGTGGCCTATAGAATAGGATAACAAGGGCGACGAATGCAGGCGGTCCCTGTTTCGCGGCGCTTCGGCGGCACACGACCGTTGTCGCAGCTGAGGACGTGCGGGGGGTAGTTGGCAACAAAGCAATGAAACGCTGTGCAGGGAGTCACCCCTCCTCTCCCTAGTAGGGGCAGTAATACAAGAAAATAAACATCCCTCTCTACAATAGAATAAATCTATTGTATTTTTTCAGCCTTACATTTTACATAAGGCTTATACATTGCCACATACTAGTCATTTAACATATCTTATTTTTATTTTCCTAATACTGTCTGCTTTGGAAAGGATCAAAACACAAAAGTGTAAAACTCAATAGGGCTGCAACAAACGATTATTTGGATAATCGATTAATCGAATGGGGTCTCGACACGATTAATCGATTAATCAGATTACATGGGGAAATTTTTAAAAACTGCTAGGGAAACGTTATTTCTCTCCTTCCTTCACTTTATTTAACACAACATTATTAGAAAACAGTTCAATAGCAGAAAAACAACATGCCATCACCTAAATTGTCTTATAAGGTGTATAGACAGAGACCCTAAGCTACATCTATCTGTGACCTAAAATGCTTGGTCCAAGTTAAACAGCTTAAGGGCAATTCTCATCTGTTTTGTTTGATCTCATCTGTTGACATTTATTTTAAATGTAATTAAACATAGGCTGTGAATTAATCAAAATTGATCACCATTTCCAAAAATGACTGAAAAAATACCAAATAAAACAAAAGTAAATGAATGCCATTCACCTTGCGATGATGCCCTGGGCAACTGCCATAAAGTCACATCAAGAAATGCTGCTGATCATTCCAATGATCCCAAATAGACTCACATTAGGCCACATGAAAGCAACTGAACCCAAAAATATATTAACCAGTATATAACTGCACTCTCACACAACACGCCTGCAGCAACAGTTAGGACTCCTCCCTCCCTTTTAAAAGCGTTTTTGCTTCCGAGGACATTGTGGTTGTAAAACCACATGCTAGTAGTCTGGCCCCGGTGTGATCAACCAGTTTCTGTGGGAATGTGACGGCGGAACCAGGGCCAGATTAACACTTTGTTGTACCCTGGGCAACAATATTCAAAGGCTCCATCATCACGACCCGAGGATCACCATAATGTGGTCACATACAGAATATTTTACTGTAATATGCAGTAAATATACTCAATACTTGAATGCCTGACAACACGTAACCCGCCCAGAGTAACCTTTGACCCACCTCGTGTGGACTGACCAATGAGGAGAGGGTCTTAACTTGAGGCCCTCTCTTCATTGGTCAGTCTGCATGAGACTGACTCAACTGACGTTCAGAGTCATAGGCAGCGAAGCGTCTCTGTGCAGCGCAAAAGCCCGGGTGGACAGTTTGTTTAATGTAGGGTGATCATATTTCCATTTCCAAACAAGAGGACAGGGGATCTGTGCCTATGATGTCACACTATGGCAACGCCACACAAACCATGTTGGGACCCATTTTTTGTAAGAACTAAATTAATATCAGATTCTGCCAATAAAAGGGCTCTAAAACAATTCATATGTAAATATTTTGCATATTTAATGCAAAATCTCATTTTTATGCTTTAGTGCTGCAACAAGCTTTTATTAATAATAAATTATTATACCTTTTGTTTTACTACAGCATCGGTAAGCTTCCTGTGCACGGATTATTAAGGATGCTTGTTTCAGCTGTGAGATTAGACGATAGGATCAATGATAAAATAAGTTGTCACACACTCCATGGAAACTTTCAGATAATCCACAAATAGTGGCTTTCAAATGGTTTTGTTACTTTTTGCAAGTTTAGAAAAGAAGCAGATGAGACAGCATGTCTGATAATTTAGTTTTTCATCTGATATATTAGAACATGTCAGTAATGTCTGAGGGGCTTTTACAAACACTGTATAACTAACACTCCTGGAGAGGGCATGAATTACACAGAGGCTTCTGGGGAGCCCAGTTATGGGGGGGGGGGAGACATTTTGCCTTGGCCCCCAAAATGTCTTGAAACGGCCCTGGGTGTGTGACTGAGTTTTGAAGGTGATCTGAATTGTATCAGATGTATAACTATGACATGTGTATAACTTATTGTTTTTTACTGGTAAAAACGTGTAGTGGAGATAAATCTACCTACATTTTACTTTGTTTTCTTGTTTTTATTTAACTATTTTCCTGTCCTGTCTGTCTCTCATCTTCCTGCATCTCCTCATAATTCTCCAGAAA